GAGCCAGAGCTTTTGAACGGAGTGGAGCGGCGTGCAATTCCCGCTCCCCACTAAGGAGGATGTTTGCTCAATTACTCCACCGCTCAAAGTTGCGCCAGGACCCTTCAACTCAAAATCCGCTCTGCACTCAACTCAATTTTCCTGCCGCTCCGGCGAAGAGAAGGGCATTTTCTGACATTCTTCCTTCATGTAATTATGCTAGGGCCCTGGAACATACAGTGTTTGATTTAATGATGTGACTGATACATACTGTATTGTTTTATTTAACTGGCTGTTTAATTAGCGTGCCGATTCCCAGCTGTGAACGTAACACCTCGCCTCATTCATGTTTCCCCGTGTTTCCCATTTAATTATTAGTTGTCGAAAAATGTTACAATTAAATCAAATAAATGTTATTTTACAAATTTTTTTTATTCAAGATTTTTAATTGATGTCGTTCGGAGCAAACTGGAGCGGAGCGAAATCCTCGCTCCGGCCTTTGAATTGAAATCCGCTCTGTGCTCCAACATATTTCTTCCGCTCCGCCCCACCGCTTGCTCCACGCTCCGTTCACATGCTCTGATCAGAGCATTTTCAGAGCCTATAGAGATGATTTTCTAAGTCATTCTGTGAAAAATGTGCTATGCAGCAATTCGGACTCAATGTGTTTAGAATCCTGTCATGCATTGGTAACCTAGAGAGACAGATAACACTCAGGTGTTCAATGCGTCATTAATCAATGACTGCTCTAATCAAATCTGTTCAGGTAAAGGAGGGACATTCACCAGAACCTTCTGAGCTGATTGGGCGAAAGTAACACTTAGCGCCTGCCTACCAAAGTTTGGTTTTAGCCAATCACAATAACTAACAGAATAGCAACATGTGCCATGTGAAAACAACTACTTACACTCTGACCGTTCCTCTTTCAAAGATAAATTAATGAGTTATGACAAAGCAGATGTGCAGCAGCTACACATATGTCCCCCTGCTGGGTCATGTTTATTTTGGTTTGGCAGCTCTTGTTTTCGTCACAGCTATATTTCCTGCCTTAAACCGTGAACTCATCATTCACTTCCTTATGTTTGATCTGTGTTACATGTTTTTGTTTGATTGACTCCACCCTTGGTTCATGCTCATAAATGCATGTTAGTTATGGGAATATAATATAGAGGATGTGCAGTAATGTGACCTCTGTCTGTTTACACTACCATGGAAGGCATAAACAACACCTGTGTGTGCTGTAAAAATACAAAATCTGCCCATCAACATTGTTTAAATATGTTGAACATTTAGATGTGGAATTAAAACAGCACTACTTGGCATAAAGTTATCTTGTTGGAGTGTAGGACCTGTATAATTTTCCTGATAACTTGTTTCACACAGATTTTAGATTGCCAGCTGTAAGACATCCCAGACTTCACCCACATGTACAGTTATTTGCTGAATCACCAGTCTTAATTTTCAGAAAAAAGCAAAAAGACTTAAAACAAGTTTAGACGCCACATACCACTGCGTCATGCCGCTGAGAGGAGGGGAGCGTGGTGGACATACTCTGTCATGCTAAAATAATAGAGTATTAGCTATTCATCAGCTGCATTTCCTCTACAGACAGGATCCTGTAAAATCAGCTGAATATATCACATTTGGACATACAATGCATGTACTGTATAACGCAAGATAAAAAAAACTAACAAAAAAAAAGCAAAAAACAAACAGCACCACTAACATTTTTCAACTTACTGGCCTGTAACGAAGCCTTGATGTCAGACAGCATCAAGGAATAATTTATTTACTTTGTTCAATTAATATTCTTCTACTAGAGCGGGTATATCTAATATTTATCAAAGTGACCCACCTGAACATGGCATGGAGATGCATTGTATTTCAGGCGTTCCTATGACAACCAGTTTCAATTACAAGTTGGATGCTGATGGTTAAAACTTCATTAAGTCCAATGTTTTCCTAGAAAAGTTTGCAGCGGTTCAATGCGACAGCACTTGAAGAAGCTGAATCATCAAAGTGTGTCAAAGACGTTTTCTCGAATTTTCCCCCTGCATCTTAATGCAGGCAGATACACAGAGCATTGCAAAATATTCAGACCTTTTTAAGTTTCCGATAACAACCCTTAGCTTCCTTCTTAGAGGGAAGCTTTGCTAAAAATTCACAAGAATTGGGTATTTTGTTATATAAGGATAAAATCTGGCAGTAAGGCATTCCAAAAAAAGGGTATGTGGCGTGACTCTGAACACAAGACCCATCAAAGCCATTTATCAAAATGGCCACGGCTGAATCTAGTTTCAGATCAGCAAAGACATTTTCTAAAATTAAATCTAACTGGTTTGTCTACCATTATTCTGACAAGCATAGGGCTTAGAGCAGAAGTGGGCAGGGCTTAATTAGGTCAGATTTATGTTTTTTTTTACCATTTACTTAAAAAAAAGAATACGGATTTGGAAATCTGAGTTTTTAAGTTAATATTTTGATTATTAGAGTAAAATAACTATTTACAATTGACTACAGATTGTATATTTTCTTAGAACTTGAATTGACAACAGCCTTTAATCACATCAGTAAGTTAAGTTTTTCTGTAAATTTGAAACTTTTATAAACTAAGGGGGCAAATTTGTTTGTTTTTTTCCTTTTAAGTGATAAAATTAAGCTAAATAATTAAACGGGTGACCCCACTCTGAATCACGTGTGTCTATTCAAAACTCAATCTCACACTAACGGGGCTTTGCAGTCTAATGGAGCTTTTTTGCACTGACACAATTTTTCCTACATTTACAGAAGATAGGATTACAACTATAGCCTGTGCATTAGACACATCCAAGAGGGTTTACAGTACCCCTCAGATGTTCCTTTAGGGCAGGGGTCGGCAACCCGGCAACTCCCTGGAGCTATTTCAAAAATGTATGAAAATGGAAAAAGATGGATTTTTTTTGTTTGATTCTTTGTTTTAATATGGTGTGCATGAGGTCAAATAAACATTCATTATTTCTAGTGCTGTAAAAATGTGTAAAATAAATACATGTAAAATATTAAATTCTGTCAACGAAGATTTGTATCATAGCCTGCAACACACGTTTCAGCGTGGCGTGATGCCAGGCAGGTGGCTGTTGTAAACAAACCGGCAGGTGTGTCTTAGGCCATGGATCCCAAAGGAGAAAAAAAAGGAAGATAGCTGATGTGAACAGAGGATTCAAAGAAGAATGGAACCAATTATTTGCTTTCATTACAGATGTGGAGGGATTGCCTGCATGTTTGCTTTGTAATGAGAAGTTGTCCAATAATAGTCATTTGGAAAGGCATTCCCAGGAAAGGCATGCTGAATATGCAGCCGACCACAAAGTGAGAGAAAAAGTGTGATTGCAGAACTTCTGGATAAATTACAGGAGTGCAAAGATAGATTTATGTTGCTGCTAGTTTTGGTGCAAGCATGGAAAACCATTCACAGATCGAACAGATAGCGCTCTTATGCAGGTGTCTGAACTTTCATTTTTCCCTCAAAATCCTCCAAATAAAAACTAACAATAAAAAATCAGATTCCTTTATTGTGTTTCTATAATTTCATAAATGCAACAAAACCTAACATATTGATAGTGTAATGGAATTTAAACTTAAAAGCACCAAATATTGTACAGCAGAGTAGTCACATGATTTGACATTTGCTCCAGGATAAACCCTTAATCATGAATGCTTATTATATATTAAAACCCATGTAGACCTTTTTTAATAGTGGGCTAAAACTCTTAGAGCCTGTGCTGCCATACGAGGCTTATAGAAGACTTTTACTTTTTTGCCTCTCAAGACAGATTTGTTTTTTTTTGGTCCAATATGGCTCTTTGAACAGTTTGGGTTGCCGACCCCTGCACTAGGGGAAGGCTAGATGAATAGATCAAGCCTGGACATACTTTCACTTTTCTATTGATGTATGGAATATAAATGTCTTGGACTCAATGGAGGTCTTCGAAAAAACTGGCTTTAGGCATCTGGATGAAAGCAGCACACCATGCAGGTAACTATTTGAAAATCAAGTAGACTTAGACAACTTGAGTTTCTACTTAAAGTAAAGCCCAGGTACCCTTGTCTCTCCCTTAGTAGCCCATCCTGTGTTGGTGGGGCTATCTAAATAAATCTTCATGATATTCATCAGATGTTTATAAAGAGAAAAATGTTGTTAGAAAAAAAATCTATTGGTTTTGGAAACCCTAAATGTAGGCTGTGTTGACAAGTTGCATTCTACAGTTAAATATTATTTTGTTTGTCTGTCTGAAAAATCCCAATAAAATCTATTGAAGTTTATGGTTTTTATGTGAAAAAGCCTTAAATAGCACAAGGGGATTAATACTTTTTACTGTTCACTCTAGCATTGTGCCATAATCTGGAAATTTTAAACCTAAAGCTGTTAAATATGGCGGGGGAGTTTGACGTCATCCCCTCTCTCCTCTATGAAAACACGAAAACCCTAGAAATTAAGAATGAGTCAACGTATTATTCATGGATTACCGCCTCTTAATACATTCGTAAGAGGAGAGTAAAGTGCTGCCTCTGGCAGTGTGATTATCACAAAACCTGGTTTTGTGTTTCGAGCCCTGGGGTTGAGAGACGTACGGAGGAACATATGGGTGGTTTAGGAAGGACTTGCATCCTTGGTAAGAACGTCACATTGGCTCTGCAGAGAAACACTACCTAAATAGACACCGGTGCTTTCTTAATGCGGATTCCTGTCACAGTCTGACATGGAGAAAAGTCCCACTGAAAGCCTGGTAACAGTAACAAAACAGCAGGAGCAAAGGAGACTGACAGCATGGCAGCACCTTGGTTCAAAGTCCTGCAGATAAAAGCCAGAACTCACACTGATAAGGGTTCAAATTAGCCTTCACATGCTTATTCTCACACTCAAATTATTAACGGGACCTTAGTTACACAACAACTAGAGAGTATATTTTACAGTATTGTTTTTCACTCTATAAAAGATACTGGCTGGAGTAGGTGTGAATATTTACAAGTGGATTTCTTACCATGGTGTCTGTGTGAGGCTCCCTCTTTCCTAGATGCTGTCCCATGCTGCTGACAGAAGCTGCAAGAAAAGGCAGAGTAAAGACCAGTTAGAAAGAGATCAGATATGCTTTCTTATCAGGAAAAAGGGGAGCCATTCCTTCAAGAAAACACCCACTTTAAGCGAATACATTATATTTTCTAAATATGCATATTTCTTTGTTTTTCATAATCAACAATAGACAATGTAATCTAAACAATTCATACACAACATGCTGTCCTTAAATGAATCACCTAACATTTGGTATTTGTCTGTAGCTAAAGTTACAGATCTTTCCTTTGGTTTGACTAAAAGCTGCTTATAGGCGGTATTAACCTTATTCCTGTTGAGTTCATAGTTACATTTTCATAGTTAAATTACCAGGCTGATAATGATGTTTAACACAGGCAACAATATAGTGTTTTATAGTTTTTTTTTTTTTTTTATCTCCCTATGAAATCTTACTATTTTAATGTAGAAACGTGTTTGTCTGTATTGGGATTCAATTAAAACCTGTCTGAGTGTGAAAGTGGATGTTTTTTTGTTTTGTTTTTTCATGTAGGCCTGTGGTGCAAATCCGAAGCTCTGCACATGGCACAATGTTGATCCTACTCCTGTAGTGACATCACTATCGGAAGGGTGCTAACATTAGACCACCTTATTATATTATTATTATTATCACCACACCCAGCTCTATTACAACAAAAGGAACGACTCCAAAACTCACTGCTCAACTGCAGGGAGTCAGTAAGTATTGCTGCTTATGTAGCTTTAAACCCATTTTGCAGGACAATGCAGAATGCAGAATGACAGTAAACCAACCATGGATAACTGCTAATGTTGCTAATGCTACACCCACTTAATGTGCATACACACAAGTTAAATTCTCATAAGTATCCTCACAGGAAAAAAAAAAAAAAAAGGAAAACAGATGTATTTAATTTTTGGTTTTCCTAAAAATCTTTAAGCACAAATTTTAAGTAAATTTATATGCGGGAGCAGCCAATTAACATCTTTAAAGCTAAAATAATACATCAACCACTTCTGCAAGTACCAGCAGAGTTGAAAGGGGGGCGCCAGGGATGAAGAGCAGAAACAAGGAGAGTAGAAAGGAACAAGAAATTTAAGCAATCTCTCTCATCAAGTATCATGATACCCTTAAGACTCCTTTGATTGTTATGTGCTATTTAATCCACAATGTTTTGCTATGTTAAGTTTACTTTATAAAAGATGCTTTATCGGGTTGCTAAAACTAATTATTATTAGGAAAAGATGTCTGTTTGATATAATTGAAACCATTTGGGAGCTCTTAGGGTGTTTTAACACCCGTGGCGTTAGGTTGATCGAAATTTATATCAACCTAAATTTGATTCCGTTTGGGTCAGTGTGAAAGCATAATCGGACCCAAATGTGCACCAAACTAGTGCGCTCTGATTAGCTGGTCTTGTTTGGGCTCCAGCCAAACTCTTGTGCGGACTGGTTGACTTCTGAAAAAAAACATACTCTGGTGCAAAGATCATCTTGTCGGTCGTCAGTATCTGCCCCTGATAAGGAGCTCAGGGTGGATGGTTAGGAGCATTAATTTCTACCTTCTCCTGAACTGATATTTCCATTCTGAGTCTCCAGTATATCAACATATTATTTTCAATCAACAGCATTATTAACATTATTTTGCTAATAGTTGTACATGCATGTACATACATATAGAATAAAAGGCAAGAGCGATTAATGACTGATGTACCTAAATACTGGTTAATACGCAGAAACAAGGTTGGCTGCGTGTGTGCAGACACTCTGGTGCACCTCTCCAAAACTGTAGGTGACCGCAGACAGTGCCGCAAACCCATGTACAGAGGCCTTAAGACCAATTTATGAGACAAAAAGAAGCTTTCATTGGTCCTTGGTATGCCTTTCCGGCTGTCTGTGTGGTCAGCCTCGATTCGGTGCTTGGGTGCGCCATTTTTAAAAACTGAGGAACAACTACAATGGACAACTATGATGAAAGGTTAATCGGTCCTTTTGCCAACTCCATAAACAGAACCTGTTCCTTTTCGACTTCTAGCAACTCTAGATCCATCTCCGTGACATCTTGCACATGCGCCATAAATACTCCCTCCGACGTTGCCGGAGGGAGTATTTATAAGTTGTCAAATAGGCGCCCCCTTGCTCTTTGGCGGGAAACTGCTGTGCGTCCCTAGAAATTTCAGACCGACGAGGCAGAAGCATACCAGCAAAACTGATTTATGACCAGACCCAAGCAAAATTTTACGTGTGCGGTTGCAGAAATATAATCTGCCCTTTAGTCCTCGATGTGGCCGGCCAGGGTTGGAATCCGACCTGTGGTACTTTGCAGCATGTCTCTCCCCCTTTCTCATACCCCCTATACTGTCAGTCTACGCAAAAAAAATCCCAAAAAACATTCTGCTACCCTATGGTACATACTAAACATGGGTTAAAACAACCTAACAAATTGGTCCGTCCAAGCCAAAGGTTACTAAGACAGAAATCCACATGTGTAATGGATAATTATAGTCAGAGTTGTTGACACAAATTAAAAAAGAATGGCTGGCACAAAGCCTTGAGGTATCTGGCCACCAACCAGCTGAAGAACCAATGCATAAGTAAAAACAGGGTAAATATACTTTGGATGTGTGTCTGAGACTGCAGGTGTTCTGTCAGACCAGCATAACCATAGTCAATACACGTGATTTAGACTTAGATTTATTTGTCATTTTGTTTACACAAGTGTAAAACAAAAAGAAATTTAGTTTAGAACAGCTCTCTGGACAATTTCTTTTTTTTTTTTTTAAGTGCAGCGACATGCCCAAGAATTTAGATTTGCGTTTATCTCTTTAGTTTTTTGTTTGTTTGTTTTTTTTTTATATTTTGTTTGTTTTTTTTTTTACAAAAAATACACTTTAATCTACCTCAACAAGCGTGTATCCATTTAGTGATGTACAAGAAAAACAATTTAAGGTCAGATTGCCATACGCTTAAAAAACAAACAAAAAAAAAACACCAAAAAGTAAGTAATTAAATTGTTTTTTTTTTGTACATGACTAAAGGGATACATGCCCGTTGAGGTAGTTTGAAGTTTATTTTTCATACAAACTAAAGGGATAAACTAAAGGGATAAATGGGTTTTGACTATGGGTATGCTGGTCTGAAGGGGTATGCTCATCTGACACAACACTGGTGTCTGTTGGCCTTTATATATCGAAAAAGGGAACAGACCTCAATCAAACTGACAGCTCTTTTAAACTGGTAGACGGGAAATTGGCCACAAAAAGTCAAATTGTGAAACCATAACCTATTCTTGAATGCTGCACACAGACTCTAAATCAGTGAGCCTGGTATTAAGTTGGATTTAGATTTGCATACGCTGTAAAAGTTAAACAGGGAAAATTAACAGCAAAGATCACTCAATATTTTAACCGATCAAAACAAAGGAGTAAATGAATGTGAATTGAAACAGGCTCTGGTTTATGTTGCACTCTAGATTGATTTTGTTCATTTTATGTTTTGCCCTACGGTGTTTCGACTTCTTCAAGGCACAGACGGCCTTTGATTAAAAGCTACTTCATTAATGTCAAATCTTAATCTGTCTAAATCTGATATGGTGCTCAGGAAACTTATTATTTTGCTCTGAGGTGCCACAGATTTAGCATGTCCTAATCATAATGTGATGCTCTGCAAATTTACTACAGGCGTTCTGTCATGGCACAGTGAAAAAAAGAAGAGGTTAAGAATTCTTTTGACATACAGAACAGAGCTTAATTACCAGCACTGATTGATTGCTTTGATTATAAAAATCCATTCTGATGAGAAGGAGAGAGAGTGACAGCACCTCTGTCATCTTATTAATGGTTCTGAAATAAATTAGATACAGTAACGACGGAGCTCAGCTAACATGAGGTACTGGAATGCTTGCTTCTTATTGAGTATACATACAGTCCTTGGTACCAGATATTGATAAGTAAGATTTTAACAGTTTACAGGTTGAAGTTCAGAGGTTCAGGTAATATCCATCCACTGAGGGGAGATGGTTGGGTAGAGAACAAGAGATTGACAGATACAGTTTTATTAAGGCTGATGCCAATACCGATTATTTTCCTGTCTGCCTATCCATTTCCTGATAGGTGCAGCCCATCGGCCAATTCTTTAGGCTGATATTGATTTCTCTTCCTCCAGTTAAATGATAAAAATGTGGTACAAATGTCACACAAGTCCCAATTTTAAACAAATATTTTAAAACAAAATAGGAGTAATTGCTCTTTATCACGACACAACTTGCTTCCCCTTTAAGAAAAAGAAAAATGGCTTACATATAGATACATGTTCATACTGACCCTTTTGTCTCCAATTTTACCTTCTCTAAGGTTCATATATATCTTTTGTTTGTATGAGCTGTTGATATAAGTTAATAGAAGCAGACATTGATATTTAAAAAAAATTAAAAGAAACAGATATAAGCCCACTAACAGCAATGGAAAATATTGAAGATTCCACAAGATGACCTTTAGTTAAATATCAAAATTCTTAAAAAAGGTGAATGTCTTTAACACAAACACACTGAATATTAATATTACCTTGACCTTAAGCTCAGCCAGGAAACAAGAAAAAAATATATAAGGAATAAATAAATAAATAAATAAATAAATAAATAAATAATAAAAATCTAAGCCTACACCCCACCAGTTCAGTAAATAATATTCTCTCTCTGGGACCATTAACCTTTACTTTCAAATAATCACAGCATGCATTTTTTACAGCTTTCAGGTGAGTTCTTAGGACTCCCTAAAAGGGCCTTTCATCATCTTTTACACCTTTTCTCCAGGATATCTTCCCTTTCATGTGTGATAGCATCTGTAACCAAATATCTTAACTCATGTATCAGCTTAGAAAATTTTTTTTTTAATGCATATTTGTGATGGTCCATTGATAATTTGCACTAATGTTGGAACTAGCTTTCTGACATTTCTCTGAAATGTCTGAAAGCAAACAGCAGTGAGACGTCATTAACTTAAGAGTATAATAAAATG